AAGGAGTTAGAAAAATTCACAAACGAACAAACATCAAGTATGTAGAAATCAACAAGGTCGTTACCTTGGTAGTTGAAGTGGTTGGATGATTTTCTTCTATATGCATAACTCCGGTTTCTCCGTCGGAATGACTAGAGCATCAGTAATGTAGAGGAGACGAAAGCGAGTCTTCGGAAAGTTATCCTCCACTTTGTGGATTACTTTGAAGGAAGTGTTTGTTGAGATGGAATGACTGGTGTTGACAAGGTGTTCGATTATCGCATTGCTTATCGTGTCACAACTGCCTTTCTGTAACCATGAGGGCTAGTGTTGTTGAATCCTTCTAGACAGGAAGGATATATGTTGGACGACCAATATACTTGGCTCCACAGCATGAGGTGAACTGATGTATGCACATAGAAGTGATCAGATGCTAGGTGTCATCTTTCAGGCTTCTGTAGACCAATGGACGACCGCGGAGCACTACTCTTATCGTTGCGAAGAAGAATTTGACTAAAATTTGTTAACCTCCTCATCTAATGAGGGTACTGAGTCTTCAGTTGGAGAATAATTATTTTTATTCAAACTTTTATGTCCATTTTATTGACTTTTATATGACTATCAAAAAATTTAAGACCGAAAGACAGGGCTTCTAAGTCCATCGTATCAAGAACAACATTAGGAAAATTGTAAGCATGCGGTTACGGATTATACGGAAGACGTGCTTCATGTGTTTGGTTGTCCAGACTTCGAATATCCTTGGTTCGCCTATTTTCTTTTCTTCTGTTAGTGGTATTGTTCTCATATTACCAGAAAAGGTACTACAAGTCGTCTAGAAGTTCTTACACCACGGTGTGTCTCTCTACAGTATTCTCTGTCAGCTCAGTGGCACATGATTACAAAGAGTCAATCTGATTGAGAGCATGACGCTTAAGTCTTCCTCTACTCTTGAATGAATCAATGATTTCCAGTAAGCTTTAGGGTAGAGACCTATTTCGAGGCATTCATGGATAAATCTTCGCTTCACTAAGCTTTGTGCTATACTTCAGATACTCATTGAAGATCTTCGACGCAAAACAGTTCTCAAACGATTTAATTAATTAAAAAATTCCTATTTACACATTTAGAAAAAAAATGTATTTGTTTTAATTACTACTTGGATAGGAAATATTCACGAATTAAGAAGTATTGGCGGCCTGCTTAAATCTTGGGCTGCCAAAATTTCCATCCTACATATTGCATCTATTTCCTCGGATTTATTTTGTTTTAATTATTCAATTATGTATCCAAGTCGCATTACTTACTCTCGCGATTATTTAAAATGTTTTCAACCTGTTGATTTACGAGTATATAATAACGTTAAGAAAAAGCATCATGGAGGTTGGCAGAGATCATTAAAGTGTACTCCAATGCATCAGATGACTGTTCCTGTGATTATGAGCACAAATTGCAGGTCATTATCGAACAAGATTAACTACTTGCATTCTCTATTATACTCAAATGTATATTGTAATACTGGTGTAATCACTCTTCAAGAGACTTGGCTCCATGATTCATATGACGATAATTTAGTCTCCTTAAGTGGGTTCACAATCTACAGACAAGACCGATGCAGCTCAAAGAAGAAGAGAGGTGGTGGTGTTGCCACTTTTATTAATTCTCAGTGGTCTACTGCCAACAACGTCTGCTTCAAATTCTCAAATGACAATATTGACTGTATAACTGTAAAATGTCGACCTAAACACTTACCTAAGTATAGCTTCATTTTTGTCACAAATATCTATATCACACCTTGTTGCAGTCCCTCAGAACTATCTATCTTCGCTGATGAATTCACTATTTTTGCTGCTGCTTCGTTTGGTAACTCCTTATCTATAGTGACTGGCGACTTCAACTCCAGCGACTGCAGTTTTATTACATTGCTGGGCCATGAAAATGTTGTTAATTTCCCAACTCGACAAAATACTTCACTTGATTTAGTATTTATAAATGATTCTGGAATATACGAAGCTCGTAAAAGAGCCCCACTCTTCAATTCTGATCATTGTATTGTACGAGTCTTACCCAAAATTTACGGAAAGTTACACAGTAAAGCCTTCTCAAACTTGTCTAAGAAAGTTGTTCACAGATGCTACTCAAATGAGAACGTACATCATCTTAGAAACATGCTCAGTGACACAAGATGGGATTTGTTTAATGATGATTCACTTGATGACAATATCTCTAATATTACATCCTATCTGAAATTCTGTTTTGAAATCTGTTGTCCAAAAGAAACACTATTCGTCAAATTTGACCGTTTCTCCTCGCCTCAACTTAAAAAGCTTCGTAGAGAGAAGGAAAAACTGTATAAGATGAAAGATAAAAGTGGTGTAAAAAGAACTAACTTCTTAATTAAGTCTGAAATGCAGAGGTTGAATGTAATATATAACCAGAAATTCATATCCTGCAAAAATCCTTCTAATATGTGGAAACTATTTAAGGAAATCACTGGTGGTAAGCAGATAAACAATATTCCATATTCTTTTGATGTATGTACTCTTAACAAATCTTTTATTTACTCTCCCTCAAATGCCATGCTTCCCAGCATCACTTGTGTTAATAATAGCCCCTTTCCAGGTTTTAACACAAATGATGTTCAAAAGTGCCTCAAGTCTCTAAACCCTTCCCAGAGCTTAGGTCCCGATTATGTACCTAGTATTATTTTTAAAAAATGTTCTGATATTCTGTGTCACCCTCTTACTGATCTATTTAACAAATCTTTTTCCGATAATATTGTGCCTGCCGTTTGGAAGGACATTGTACCCATACCTAAATCTTCTACTGGAGCATGTGTCAAATTTAGACCCATTGCTATTACGTCTCCTTTTTTGAAAACTATGGAGAAATTACTTTTACTTAGTCTTGAACCTTCGCTTAAATCCTTTAATGACCCTAAACAATTTGCCTATAAGCACAGTAGAAGCACTTTAGATGCAGCTGCCGTCTTATATCATAACATTGCTTCCAGTCTAGACAAGGGGGCTAAATTTGTTCGTGTTGCCTTCCTAGACTATACATCTGCTTTCGACTCGGTCCCTAGGGACATCTTATTAAATAAACTTGCTGCTAGTCAAACAGAATGTTGGGCTGTTAACTGGTTACATTCCTATTTCTCAGATAGAAAGCAGTACACCGTATATAAAGGGAAGTCTTCCACTTCATTGCCTACTGAAGCTGGTGTCCCTCAAGGTGCTGTTCTTTCTCCTTTTCTTTTTTCTTTCTTCTTGCATGACTTGCCTCACTCTGATGAAATAAACTTTGTGAAGTACGCTGATGATTTAACGGTTTCAATGGCTGTTAACTCCCAGCTAGATTGTACTAAAATAAATAGCTTTCTATCGGAAGTCAGCAAATGGTCTGAGTCTAACGGTCTTAAACTGAATCCTTCTAAGTGTCAAACTGTTGATTTCAGCTTAAGATGTAAACGACAGTTAAAAGAAGTCATCGATTCTCATGACACTTGTAAAATTGACGACAATGATATAGGAATCAAATCAGAAATTAAGTATCTTGGACTCATTCTCTCTTCTGATCTCTCCTGGTCTTCCCATGTCTTAGCAATCTCCAGTAAAATATTCCGCCTGACATTTTACATTAAGAAGTTAAGACACTCGGGTATAACTCAACCCTTCCTCTTACAGTTCATAAACTCTTGCATCCTACCTATTCTTCTTTATTGCTCACCCTTATTCTTTCCTGGTTTGCTTAAAAAAGACTATGTCACAATTCGTAGAATACTGAAGACTGTCAGTAGGGTGAGTGGTGTCCCAGTGGACCACATAGTTAACGTCGTTGTCGATAGGCACTTGACTTCGTGCAATAAATTTGCTAAAGGGATTTTGTCTGACTTGGAGCATCCGCTTTACCCTCAGCTTTCACCTTGCATCTCCTCAGGTAGAACAAGGAGTAACTTCAGAAAACTGTATGCTCGCACGTCTAAGTATAAAATTCTATGATACCATACTTGGCACGTATTTTATGTGATGAAAATAGTGTCAGGCAAGAATTAACTAACCTTTTTTCATCTAGTAAATAAACAATTTCCTCCATCCATCCTTATATACCTTCAAGTTTTACTTTTATTACTTCTATTATATTTATGGTCCTGTTACTTCTCTGTTTTACTCTCATAATTGCAAACACCAACTTATCTCCATGACGGCTGTAATCTTTGTTTTTCCCTTCACCATATCATGTAGAAAGAACATTATATTCAATATTTTTAAACATGTTAGGATTTCTATACCACATTGACAATACTGTGTGACACAAGCCAACGGCAATTTTCACTTGTATTCTTATTATTATTACCCTAGCTGTTATCATTATTATTGCTATTTCCATTTTATATGCTGCATGTTTTTGACACTACCTCTATTGTAAATGTGGAAAATTTTCTGTGTGATTAATTTTATTTATAATTTGAGGAAATTAGATGCAATATTGTGATTAATGCTGAAAATTCCATTCTGTATCACAAGTACTGTTTTTGGAATAAAGTAAATCATTATTATTGTTATTATTATTATTATTATTATTAAGGAGCCATAGACAGTACATAACTCAGTTGGTTTTTACTGTACACCGTAGAGCTTACTGTAGCTTCGTAACCATCTACTTTTTTTTCCTGGGAAAAAAAATACAACTCAGTTTCCTAAACTGTCAAGCCACCACAAAATAATTTAGTCATCTTGGTCACTGTATGTTCCTTTTATTTTAACTTCCAACTGCTCACACCCATCTCACATATATATAGATGCACAGCATGAACATACCCACAAGGAAACACGCCAAAATTATGTTAAGTGTTCTAGCCATCCCTTCATTATAATTGGCTAATTCAATTATGATGTATACAAAAATCCTATTGGTCGAGAAATAAATAAATAACTTTTGAAAAATGTGATTGGTTGATTAGATAAAAAGGAAAATGACCAATAAAAGAGGTGAATTCGGCGCCAAATCTTGTATGCTCATCTGTCGAGCTTAGTATAATTTAATACTTACGAATAACGGCAAGCATCAGAGTTGACTTGGATTATCATATGAAGTAGTAATAATGGAACATAATTCATTGTTGAATAGCATCATAAACATTAGTAGTACTGTCAATGCTCAACCGCTACAAATGAGTGAATACAACCATAATGATAATATTAGCCTTATGAATCGTAATATAACATCGGAGAATTTTCATGACCTCTTCTCATCACGTGATCTATCATCTTTGAATATCTTACAGAATGTTGCAAGTAGTCTTTTAAATCATAACATTCCTAACACAACACCTAGTGATTTCAACCAGCTAATCATGTCCAACTGGAAATTATTCAGTGAACAGTATAAATCTATGATGATGAAAGTTCTCTCCAACCAAGCATATTCCCCAGTCACCAGTAACAATAATAATAGTAATAACAGCAATAATGTGAATGAAGATATGCGAACTATGATGATGGTGATGTGTGAATCGGCCAATCGAAGCCTACACGCTCCCACAAACAGTCACTCAAATCCTGTCACCGCTGCAACTCCTCTAACATGGTCTAACCAATACGGGTTGATAAATAGTGACAAGTGTAACAATCCAATAACGCCTACACCGATGACGCCAACAACAATAACACCAACAACACATATCCATGGTAAAGTGAACAGTAAACATATACACCTAGAAACGCAACCGAATGATGTTGAGCATATGGATCATATGCTGCGAATGTTACCAGGGAATAATTCCTGCCTATTTCTATCGAAACCACCTTACTCTTATATAGCATTAATTGCTATGGCGATTAAATATGCACCGGGTCAGAAAATCACTCTGAATGGTAAGTTCATTATCTCATCAATCCGTCTTTTTAAATTTCTTATATTATAACTTATTGTCATTGTCTATAGACTGCAAAACTTCTGTGCTTATTCCACCGATTTACGACAAGATCACTGTCTTCCTTGACAAGTAATATTGTCTAACATAAGATTAGGCGCTAAAAGAGTTGTGAGATGGTCAAATCAAAACATGACGTCAATCTATAAAGTCTTTGACTGTTGCTTTGAGCTAGCCACTTATGGAGGTATAATAGGTTACCTGGTTGGACTCCTCGGGATGCTAAGAACTAATGGTTAGAGATTACTGGTGATATGGCCTAAAATCATTCTCAGTAGGGCAGATGCGTTCTGTATTAGTAATCAAACAGGTTCATTAAGTTACCATGTGTTTTCATGTTACTATTCTTCCTCCCGTATAGCTGTACTTATTGTAATCCTTATGGATCGCTTCCTTCTCTCTTTTTTCAACCTTTGTGTGATTTGTAGAGTGTAATGGCTTGAAGAATTGCACTTCTATTCAAAGTTTTACGTTTAAACTCAAACGGTCATTTAGGACAAGATATCATACAAATGTGAGCTGCCTTTGGCGATCCAATATTTACATCTTGTATACGTTTCAACGCCTGTGATTACCTTTAACGAACATGAAACTTTTTTATTTACTGTATATTGAATAGAGTATAGTGCTTCAAGCTTTGAGTATTTTAAGAATCAAGTATGCCTATTAGTCGTACGCCTATCCTTCCCTCTTTACGGGCTTACTATTGATTTGTAAGCTTAATGGTATTTGATAGTTTATCATTTGGAAATCGAACTCACCCCCACCACCACCACATGGTTAGCGAGAATTTCATCGCTGAACTGCAGACTAAAAAGACACATCTATTTCTACCTCGTTATAGTACCTAAGGAGTATCTGTGAGACCAGTTTTAAGGGACTTTCAATCCTAAAACTGGAGCGCAAGTTACTCTGTGAAACGATTGCTTTATTACAGTTTACTAAATTGACCCCACCCCCTTGTACGGAAGAGAAAATTCCCCCTAACAGAGATGACGTTGAATAATCTTAGATTGTCCGTCAATAGTCCTAATAGCAAGGTTATTCCCCCTGAAACTATTCTAAACACATAAACAAACCATCGTTTTTGTTACGGATTGATATTGCTTAGTTAACCACTGAAAACCATGACAGTTACTTCGTCCTAGTTTGGTACTCTTCAGCATTCTACTAAAAAGTTATATATATTGGAATCGTTACAAACAGAAAAATCTAAATTGAATAGATAGTCCCAGGGAAGTAAAGTCATGCGATAGTCGACACTCTGATGCAGCAGATGGTGAAAAGAGGGCTGAAAATATCCATAGAGACATGAAGGAAACAACAGACAATCCAACAAAGAAAATTTTCTTCATCGACGAAATCATCACCTTCAAAATATTCGCAGAAAATGTATAGTATGTATGTATATTTTTAAACGATAGGGGTGGGTGGGTGATGTAATTTATACCGTTACTCAGCAGTGGTTTCTAAAGATAAAAATAACATTTACATACTAGTCAACATAATAATTACTGGCTCCATGTGGAGCTAGTTGTGTTGGTTTCACAGTAAATTACTAGTTCGGTTATAGAGTAACTGGTGAACTCACACCATACAGTCTCACCAGAGTTATCTCTCAAAATTATCTACAGGGTGAAACCAAGTGATACAAAAGGTCTTATGTTTCAACATTTTTGTAGGGCGCAGACACTAACTATTTGTTAATGTAACCATTGAACTCTGTGTGTGTGTCTTTGTGCAGAAAAGATTTGCGCAGTCTCTTATTCTACCATTCACTGTAGTCAGTCTTACATGTTCTTAAGTAAAATCACAGTTTTTTTTGTTCAGCGAAGAAATTTCTTTTCAACAACTTCATTTTCAAGCCAACTGTACAGTCGTATTTATATTACAGAAAAGAAATTATTAAGTGACACTAAATAATTGCTCAGTCAATAAACATATATAAGTGATAATAATAAGGATAATTAAAATGTTATAAGGGGTGGAGTTGAAGTGGATGGATAGAGGTATAATACATGTTCTGTTCTTATTTTGCAATTTACCAAGTTTTTTCTCACCGTCTTCACATCTGTCAAGTGGATACACTCAACCATCTTATTTCTTGTCTAATAACAATTTTTCACCCTATCGAATTTCGGACTTTTACTTCCTTTGTGTCACTGATTATTACGTAATTCCTTTTCACCTTTAGAAACCACTTCTGAGCAATTTTATCAGTTACTTCACCCACCCACCCCTTCTTATTACATAGTAATATACTGGTTTATGTTTTTTTTAAATATAAATACGATTGTACTGTCTCTGAAGATGATTTCATCGAGAAGTGAAGTAGTGAATACTAGTCAATATGAAGGTTTCAAAATTTTAAATAATTACCTGTCTAGGCGAAATAAATGAATATGAAAAACGTGAGTGATATGATACGCCTCGTAGTATCACTTTCCAGGCCACCAGAATAAACCTAGAGGTAGAATAAATAGATCAAAGGTTTTTATATTTCCCAATGAATGAAAAACAAAACGATATTGTTTTCACTGACATTTCGCTATTTAATGCTAATAGCTTTATCAAAGTATTATCAAATGTTGGTTTGCAGGGATCTGATTGGTTTCAGGATTTCATCACGAACTAACATCTAACCGATGAAATCATGTAATCAAGGTGCTCAAGAACCCAGCTATGGGTTCATCTAATTTCTCTTTCAGACAACCATATAGGGAGCCATCCTTGTGTGCATGATACTCCATGCTGGTTTTCAACGGTTCTCTAATTGATGTCAACTTGTGAGCAAGCCTGTAACCAGTCAAATCCCTACAAATCAACACTTGGTAATATTAGTTGGTTAGAGAACCATTTGAGACTAACCAGTGTCATGGGTGTGTACTACTACTGCTACCACCGAGGGGTTCCAAAGACGTGGGATGAAAAAAACTGTACAGTACTATTCGCTAACTGATATGTCAGTCACTGAGTGATCCAGTATTGGTTTGTGGGGATTTGATTGACTGGTTACAGGATTTCATCATGAGCTGACATTAGTTACAGAACCATTGGAAAACCTGGGAGTACTGGACAGCTATTTCGTCCTAATTTGGGACTCTTCATCAGTTCACATCCACTACAGGGGGGTTCGAACTCAAGACCTTCTGGTTACAAGGCGACCTCGTATACCATTCAGCCATTAGGATGTGATTTAATGACCAGTCCGTGAATTCTAACTTCTTCCATTTGGCGACATATACATATACAGCACAAGCACCAGCCAGTGTCATCAGCGAGTAGGTATTCTCTTGCCTGACTCAGTGGATCCTGCTGTAATACAGGTAATTTCCTGTATACAGTCAGCCTCTAGACAGCATCAGATTAATAATCTAGTGTTGGTCTGCCAATAATCAAATTTATAACCAATCAGTTCCCTGCGAACTAATCAGTGATTGGGTGGTTTACAGGCCTGCTTGGCAACCAGAAGGTCGTAGTTCCGAACCCTTCAGGGTGAGGGTGAGTACTGCTGAAGACTTCCAAGCACTAGAATGAAATAACTGTCTAGTAATTTCAGGATTTCATCATGAGCTGACATTAGTTAGAGAACCATTGGAAAACCTGGGAGTACTGGACAGCTGTTTCGTCCTAGTTTGAGACTCTTCAGCAGTACGCACCCACCGGGATTCGAACCCAGGACCTTCCGGTTACAAACCAACACTTGAATACCAATAAGATGCTCACTGGCGACTGGCCCTATTCAGGTAGGTAGTTACCTGGGTTCCAGTGGGAAGTCGTGACCAGTAGGGTGCAGCTGGTCGGGTGTGAGGACAAATACTCGCCGAAGACATTGGCTAGCGGTCGCGCTATGTCGTGAATTGGCAGAAGTTAGAATTCAAGGACCATTGGATCGGGTCCCAGTGGCTTAATGGTATACGAGCTCGCCTTGTAACCGGAAGGTCCTGGGTTCGAATCCCGGTGGGTGCGTACTGCTGAAGAGTCTCAAACTAGGACGAAACAGCTGTCCAGTACTCCCAGGTTTTCCAATGGTTCTCTAACTAATGTCAGCTCATGATGAAATCCTGAAATCAATCAAATCCCTACAAACCAACACTTGAATGTCTAGTAATTCTTTGAGGTTTTTCAATAGTAGTTCTCTGACTGATATCAGCTCATTGTCAAACGGGTAAACAAACTAATTCATACATAATCTGATTTCACTTCATATCAGTGAATCCTGATTTAACCTTTCTAATGTAAGAATATTCATAATAATAATAATACCGTTAAATTTTTGATTACAAATCATGCAGAAGTGAACAGAACACGTGTCCTGCTACTTGAATAACAACAAAGCCAATAATTAGGTTTGGCAAACATGAAAGTACACACATATGTACACGCACACACACATATGCACGCACGCACACAAATACACAGACACGAACATTCATCTACATAATTATTATCAATAAATATGTTTAACCTTAATATGAAGGCTGACAGTCATCATAATCTATCAATACAACCTGATAATAATGATAATAATAAGTGATCAATGATTATGAAGTAAATTTGTTGTAATTATTATATAACGGTACATCTAAAGATTTATAAACAATGATAGTAATAGTAATAATATCAATAATAATAATAAAGACTTCATATTGCATCGTACATATATACATGACCTGTAGAATTTATCACGTTCCACAGTAATGAATTGAACAAGTAGGCTAGAAAAACTAGAGGTATGTTGATGTGATTAACTGCTTGAGTATTCGTGTATGAGTGTGTGTGTGTTTGTGTGGGTGGGTGTATGCTGTACGCCAGTTGGTAGCTTAAGAACTTGGTTTTATTGTTGTCATTGTTGTGTTTTTTTTTCTTCAAAAATAACTAACCAAAGGCCAACTGTGAAAAAAATAATTGTTTTGAGATGTTTTGTATATTTTTTGCTGG